GCGTTGGCCCGGCGCCTCGCCAGGGTAAGCCCCCTGGCGGGCCGGGCCAGTTTTATTTACCTGCTGACGCAGCAGGTTCGGCCGATCGCGGCCCCCCACTGGCCGCAGTTCGCCGTCCCGCGCCAATGGGGGCGGCAAGAAGCCGCGGCCAGCACATCACACGCCCGCGCCACTTCTCGCCGCCTCCATTGGCCCGGGACAGCGAACCACAGCCAGGGGGGGCTGCGATCGGCCGAACCTGCCGCAGCAGCAGGTAAATAAAACTGGCCCGGCCCGCCAGGGTGCTTACCCTGGTGAGCCGCGTGCCAAATGTTGCTGACCCCTGATATAGACAGTGAAATCTCTCCCAGTGGTTTATCATCAATTTATTAAACTAAATGCAAGTGGAGTTTCACACACACGTAGAAAAGTATGGCAATTTTTTTTTTAAAGGAACCTTTTGACTGTCAGAAGCCCAGACAAAAAAACTCCTTGGACAGGAATATGATTCACTGATATATCTATTAGATTAAATCTGACGATGCTTAAGGCCAAAACCACAGAGCCAAAATCTGTCAGAGGCTCTCAATGTCTCCTCTAAATAGGAGGACTAAAAATAGAACTGATAATCCTTACTGGCTTAAAAAGTGAAGATTGAGTATCTCCCAGGCAGGCAACCCTATACCAGTTGCTTCAGGGTGTTTGTGATCCACATTTTGCCCTTACAAGACGGGCACAGTTGAAACAGAGTTTTTCATGGCCATGGGAGATGGATTTACAGAGGGGGAGAGATCTTTACACCTGCTCCAGCCCCTTTATGCAAGCTACAAGGGCCAGAGCAGCATAAAGGGGGCCAAAAAGCCCTGGCTGCAGCTGAGGGAGGATTTCCATGGCACAGACACTACTTATGACAGCTGTAAGGCTGCCTTATATGGACACCATTTCAAGCTGGGAGCGGAGGCGCATGTTCAGGGAAGGGCAGGATCACCCAGAGCAGTGGAGATTCCATGCAGCACTGCTGCCCATCAGGCAGCTCCCAGGGCTATCTAAGGTCAGCTGAAAGCTTCTCAAGGCCCCAAAGCAGTCCATTATTGGGAGGGCACAAAGGTGACTTAAAGCCACTTTAGTCAGCCCCTGGGCGGCTAGTTTTGTACTGTGCCTCTTAGATGTGCAGGACCGAATCTCACCTAGGGACTCTAAATGAAAACAAATAACAACTGGATGACCCAATGATATCAACAGGACTGTGACAACAGTGCACCTCCAACTCCAACATTTTAGTAAATTAACAACTAACTCTATACAAACGAGAGTTGGAGTTTTGAGAATGGAAAATAAAAACAGTCATAAAACGTAACAGCAGGAGAAGCAGAGAGAATTCTGAACTCATTTCTCCATAGACTGGAAAGAAGAACAAGAAAAAAAAAAGGAGAGGTCTTGAGGAAACAGCATCTTAACATCTTGCACTGAACCTTTACTACTGCACAGAAGCATGAATGCTGCACCAATAGTCATTAATCTTCTAGAGGGTTCAAACTTCAATGTAAAGGGCTCACATGCACCCAAAAGAGCAAACTTGTACTGACACTATTTGAAGGACAGCATGAAAGTCTTCCTTAAACTGATCAAGTTTGCAAAAACACGGCTATGAATTGTTTAAAAAAACCTTAAAGCTAAAACTAACATGGACTTTAATCTTCTTGATTGAAATATGGAATTGCTGATCTAATCATTTATCAGGGGGTAGCCGTGTTAGTCTGTATCTACAAAAACAACAAGGAGTCTGGTGGCACCTTAAAGACTAACAGATTTATTTGGGCATAAGCTTTCGTGAGTAAAAACCTCACTTCTTCGGATGCATCCGAAGAAGTGAG